GGGCGGGGAGAGGAGTACAATAATGAATGAATGGAATTCCAAAATCTCTGTAGATGTTCATTGAAATGAAAAATAAAGAAATTTAAAAATATATATTGTTCATAGGCTCATATGACTATGAGTCATACTTGACTCAGTGGTACCTAACAACATCAAACCAGTACTCCGAGAGAACAAATGTATCCCTTTTATTGAAGAATCTTCTATTCAGTTTGGAGTCTTTGAGCATCTATATCCATAAGCAAAGTCCAGTTCAGGACAAGTCATTAAATTGAAGCTATTACCACTAGCTCACAGCATGGGTCATCTTCTTTTCATATGGTTGGATTCTGGCCTAATCATCCCCAGCCATCTGTTGCTAGGTCCAAATATACATCAGCCAAAAGCTCAGAAGTCCACATTTCTCCCTTCATATAAGACCAATTGGTCCCTTCACTCAGCCTTAGCTCCACATTGAGCCAAGTCAACAAGCTTTGTTTCTCAAAGCCAGCAGGCTTTTCCCCCCTTCTTATCTATACATCTGTTCTATCAACACAGTCTAGGATGAGATACATCTGTTCATGCTAGGTGAACAATGCTAAGGAAATGCATCTAAGCTGAGCCTTTCTCTTTATTGTTGTATTCCTCCAAGTGATCAATATTCTTGTTGTTGTTGTTGTGTAACATCGAGTCAGAACTGACCCACAGCTGGGCCTCCAGCAGGTTTTCAGAGGCAATTAATTACTTTGGAAAAGATTGTCCATCTTCTCCTGCACAGCACTTGATGGATTAAAATGGTGTGCCTTCAGGATCAGAGCATAGTTTCTTGCCACTAGTCATCAGAGCTCTCAGCAGCTCCCTTCAATTTTGAGTCCTGGAGATGGGCTCTGATGGGTATCATCATTATTCTTCCTCAGATGTAAAACAACAAGTTCCAGTTTTAAAAAGTCATAAGTTCCAATCTTTGATAGAACAAATGTCCTTCCCTACCCTGAATTGAGTAGTATAACAGACAGATGAGCATTCCTGAAGCTACACAAGATCTTAAAAAACACCTTTGGTAGAGCGAATTGTCCTCTCCTTCCCTGGAGAGGGGAATGCTATGGCCAGGTGACCAGACATGCAGGACCATAAGAGGCTCTTGAAGGAAAAGAAAGTCTTCCACCTCACTTCCTGAATTACTGAGACTTGGGGGCTGCACTGTTGGGATCTTGCAACTTTCTGAGGTCTTTTCCCTGAGTAATATATCTTGGGAAGCACTCCAGGGACTTTTCTTAGTCCTGGAGAATAGTCCCTTACCCCATCAAACTATAGGACAAGACAGAAAAACAGACCCACCACAGACACCTTCCCCTCAAAGGACAAGTAGATAAAATCTTACCAGAGGAAAAAGGGACCATATCTGTCCATAAACAATGATCAAGGAAGGCTACTAGTGAGAAACTCAATTGGTGGCAATAGAGATAAGAAACTTTTAACAATCTATCTAGACATAACAGAAACTGCCTCACACATACTACTAAGAATTTCACATAAGGTCAAGAGAGAGTGGGAACAAAATATACCAAGTAAATGGCATCCACAAGAAAAGCAGGAGTGGCAATACTAATCTCATACACTGCTGTACAAAGATAACTCATGGTTGCTGTGATGCTAAATACTGTGACATTGATGTGCCAAATTTGGTGGCACTTCCCGATTAAAACAAACTTGGAAGCAGGAGTGGCATCCACTTCTGAAATGGCTTGCCTTTGGAAACTCTATAAACAGTGTTCTGGTCTTTCATTCATAGGGTCGCTATGAGTCCGCTACTACTCAATGTCACTTGACAACAATAACAATGACAACATAGAGAGAGCTACTTTGGCGTAGTGGACAGAAAGTTATGCTACCAATCCCAAGGGGGGTGATTTTAATGAGGCTCTAAAGCCTGGTTTTAAATTGTTTTTTGTTAAAGATTCTTCTAAGTGGTATAGTACTGGTCTGTGCATTGCTGTACAGAGGTAACTAGTGGTTGCTGTGATGCTAAACACTGTGACACTGATATGCCAAACGTGATAATGGTTACCCATTGTGGACAGTGTT